GGCACGAAGCCTTGAATGCAAACGCACGCGGCTGAAGCCAGAGACAAATCGCCCGACAACGGCACGGACAAAAATCGTCTATAAATCCACCTGTCCATAACTGCCAGTGTTGTTTTTGTGTTGCTGTTGCTGCGAATGAAAATTCGATAAGAAATGAGCCACGGTGCGACGAATGGGGTTTGGCATTTCCCAAAACGCGGGGTCACTGACATTGCATTTACTCTTGGCTAATAAATGGATAAAACTCAGACTGTTGTATTATTCTGCGGCTTCGCATTAACCAGGAGCTCGGGGTGGGGGGTGGGGGGTGGGGGGTCAACCAGAGCCACGCTTTGCGCTGTGTTCCAGCCGTCTTCCAGCGTGTGTTGGCAAACCGCGGAAGTGACCGGTTGCCACCATCTGAGCTGCTCCACACCTTGGCTGCTGGCGGCGTGTGTGTGTATACGTCGTTAGATCACCCTGTCACAGACTCGGGACAATGAATGACACCCTTCAAACAAAGGGACTCCGATGTATATTGCATGATACACGCCAGTCATTGTTTATACCCCAGGTGTATGTTTCGAAAGCCTGCTCAGAGAGCCCTTGGGCTACTTATTACTGTGGCCAGGACGTACCATTTCTGTCTGTCTGTCCGGCCTGAGGCCAATTCACTCGATTGCATGACAAGTTACGAACAAAAATCGACTCAACCAATTGCTAAAAGAACTCAGTCACGCAAATTCCCGATACCATTGCCCCCCAACGGGATGCTTGGCGAATTCAACGAATGAGTATTTTGATTAATGTGGGATGAAATCGGAGAGCCCCGGGGAAAAAACTCAGCACGCATGCAAAGCAACCCCATGCTTACAAATACCTGGCGGTCACTCACCTGAGTACCAACCAGTCTCGCCCCTGCTTAGCATTCAGGGTCCGGTGTGGGTCCCCCAATGGCCAGATGTTGGACCGTATACTCGGATTTGCAGACCCAGGTCGCCCTCGGAAGAAGAGGCAACGTCGTTTCGCACGTCTCGTTGTCTTCACGTTTATCTCCGGGCTAAGCGAAAGACGCGACGACAATCGAAAACTTTCGGCGTCGTTTGAACAAAACGAAGCCCAAATCTCGAGCTGTTCCTCATCGGCGATAAGCCGCACGAGAGAAAGAGAGCGAGCGAGCGAGCAAGTTCCACCGGGGCATTTCACAACATTGCGAGGGCGGAGCGGAATTTTATTGCGCCGCGCTACGGCGTCCACCCCAGCGTTGAAGGGGCCTTCCTCCTCTGCTCCCTGTGATAAGCCGCGGGCCGCGGAGTTGAAGGGCATCTCGTCTGGTTTCCACCCCCCCCCACTCACGGTGCACGTCAGCGAAGGGCTGCAACGACTCGACGAGAAGTGACGTCCTCGTTTACGCGGTTAGAACTCATGTACTTTTATTACGCGTTGTTGATTTATTTCAGGGGCGCCACGGTGGTGTGATGTTATTTTCCTCGCCTGGTATGCAGGAAGTCGGGGGTTCGATGCAGACCCTGACGCCTGCTGTATATTTGGAGTTTGCGTCTCTCTCTCTCTCTCATTCTCCCCGTGGACGCGTGGATTTTTTCTCCGTATCCTCCGGTTTTTCCCTCCACGTTTAAAAACATGCATCTAGATAATTTTGCTGCTATAAATTTCCCCTTGATAAGCCACTTTGTTCAGCTATTATTTCTGGCCAGGTCCCTTCTGAAAAAAAAAGCTAAAAGCTCAGTGGGCTTTACCTGGTAAGATTAAAAAAAACAATGTACTTGTATATTTTTAAGTGATTTGTTTACCTTTCCTATACTTTGCACTTCTATCGTGTTTTCTGTATTGTTTGTTGTTGTAACGTTCTGACCCGCCCGTACTGGACATCTGTGAAAAAGAGCTTTATAGCTCATCGGATTCCTCCAGTACAAATACAGATTCTGATTCTGATTCTAGAGGCCACGTACAACTCCGTTGGTGACGTGCCACCAACGTCATCCAAGTGCTGCTCCTTCGTGATAAAAATAACAATTCGAAGCTGTTTCTTGTTCCACTTCTGGATGACCGACACAGGCACAGGTGCTATTTTTGAGCCTCCGTTATTTCACAAGCGCTGTTTTACCTGTAAAACTGTTGTCTAATTATACAAGGTGGCCAAGGTGCGGCCCTGCAATTGCTTGCTCACACCATTGCTGGTGGAAGTGCCCTCCACTAGAGCGAATTCTTGAGGGTATTCGGTTTTGTGAGAGGTGCCAAATCGTATTTTTTTTGTAATCGATGATACCTTTATGGACACACTCTATTTACAACGCTATTTGCAAAATGATATTTTTAACACTTCCTAATTTATCTAAGCATAGTTACGATCGATTGAAACTCCGTTACTCTGCAGACTGTAATACATTTAATGCGTTGCTTGCCATGTTTAAATTCGAATTGCATCACATCGGGTAGCTTGGTAGCGTTCGTGGCAATTTGTTTCTCCGCTCAGTGAAGTGAGGTTCAAATATTACAGAGGACATTGGCTCCAGCAGTGCCGGTGCTGGGCCAAAGTGGACTAAGCAAAACCTTCGGTGCCCCAAGTAGCTCACGGGCCCCCGACATTAGGGAGAACCCCCCCCATAAACTTGCACGGAAATATCTGCTAAGTACATCTACGCCTGATATCTCAAAGTCCGCATCGCTAGATCGCCATCTTACATTCCTCTCATCTCATTGCACATCTGCGCTGTCAGTGTCCACTCCTCTCTCTCTCTGTCTTTTGTCCACATCTCTTCCATCTCACTATATTGGTACATTCCCAGTACCTTTCACCCCTCCATCTACTCGCTAATTTCACCGCATCTCTTACGTAAAATCATCAAATCTCTGTCGCCTACACGCTTACTGTTGTCTCACTCGCCGTTTGTAAATTGAAAGGGAGTGTTCCCCTAAAACAATTCCTGCTTAGGGACCCCACTGGGCTGGAGCCACCACTGGGGCTCCAGGAGCTCTCCGACGAGCTGCGTTATGGGAAGTGCCCCTTTGCGCGCATGGCTGACGGCCCACGGTGATGTTGATTCTAAATGTGGAAGGAAAACACCGGAGGACCTGGAGAAGAATCCACGCGACCACGGGGGGATAGAGAGAGAGAGAGAGACATGCAAACGCCAAATATGCAGCAGCAGGCACGTGGGTTGGAATCAAACACCACGACCTCCTGCATACCAGGCGAGGTAGTTAACATCTCGCCACGTGACGCCCCACAGGTGGCCAAAGATCTCCCTCTGGCGCAGGATTCCGCTGCTGCGTAGCTTCCTTCCGGCGCATTTGTCGTTCGGCGCGACGCCCGACGGCTTCCCTCGACGTGCCGGGCACTCGGTTCCCGGGGAAGTTCCCCGGCGCGTGGCGCGAAACGTCGGGCGTCCGCGCACGGAACGACAAACGCGGCGCCACGCGGTAAACGACCCGCAAACACGATCGGAGGGCTAAATTATCTCGTTTGCCGCTGCTGCCAACCTCGGAGTCGGGTAGGCGCCGCCGCTCGAGCTCGCAGCCGCCGGCCGGGGTGAGTGACAGAGACAGAGCAATCGATCAAATCTTGGAAGTGACTCTGACCAGCCTTGCGTGTCCGGGCTGAATCCAAGCGGTGTGCTCGCCGTTTAATTCCTTTCGCCAGAATTGGACTCATTTGGCCCGCGCGGATTAGCCCGATGAGAATGCTCGACCATTCCGGGCAGGTGGTGCCGCGCCTTCCCCTGCGCGCCTGCCGGCCATCGGCGAGCAGCGGCCCAAGCGGGAACGCCCCGTTGCTCGCCCTCGGTGCGACTGCAAACCAGAGGGACACGGGGAAATTAAACCGTTATCATTATTAATGGCCCTTATTCCCATTACAGCAATGTTTTGACGTTCAATTACTGTAAATTAGGGTGCCGATTTTTTTTTTTTTACCCCGTGATGTGTCGTTAAATGAGCGTGCAATAAAGAATTTCAAGTACAAGCGGCATTTGATAATTGCTTCATTATTATGCGAAATTAACATTCTAAAGGCGCAGCGCGACGCAGGAAAAAAACAACGCCACGCTTGTGCTCTACCGCCGGTGTTCTGCAATGAAACCGGGACTAAAAAAACCCCCATCATATCCACACAGGATATAAATAAATAAGGAAACTCGAAAGTTATGCGTTGGGGTTCTTGCCACCTTTCAGATAAGGCCGACTAATCCTGTAAAGAGTGTTTTTGCGTTATCTGTGTCTCCTCACTGAGGCTTTCTAATCGGCGACGGGCCCACACTTTGTGTATTTTTTAAAGCCTGTTCTGTTTGCTTGGTCCCCACCCGCCCATCCTTCACAGCGATGTCCAGCAAGCGTTACAAAGGCAGAGGGGTCTCTTTGGATTTTAGCAGTGTGGATTATTTTTTTAAGGCACTCATAATTTACCCCATCCACCTACCTCCTCTAAATGCTTATCGGTTTTTCTCCTTCAAGGGGGGGGGGGGGAAATAAATAAAACAAGTTTTCCATCTCACAATCTTGGGAGATGTGCGTGGCTTTTGGGACTTTGCCATCAGCAAAAATAAAAATTATAGTCACGATTTGCAGCCTTTATCAATCCACTGCCGGCTGAGGGGCCTTCCCCGATGGCCTTTGGTGATTTGTTGTTTGACCATACTTCACCATGCAGGTTGATGAAGGTGGTTTGGAGATGACTGACCACCGATGTTATCCGTGGCTGGAATTTAACTTGGGTTGCTGGGTTAGTAGCGCAGGTTAAATTGTTGCGTTCGCCGATAGCCATTGCCCATTATGTAAGGATGTCAGCCAGCTTATCTCTTATCAGGCTCCACCGTAATGACGGGACTCATTTAAGCAGAAACTGCTCTGGGCCTGCAGTGTTGAAACAAATTCCACCGGGAACCATCGATCTGTAAGGGCGCCGTCGAGTGATAAGGCCAAAACGGAGGCAGTTGTTTTCAATCCATCGTCGCGACCGATCCCGCTTCGGGAAAAACACTCACCGCGCTTCCCCCGCTTCGCAGATGATCTTCAGGAAAATCGCCGACGTCAAGCGGGAGGAAGAGGAGCGGCAGAAGTGCAAGAACGATGCGCGCTTCGACCTCCCGGCCGACCACCCGGTGCGGAAACTCTTCCAGAGGTTCAAGCAGCAGAAGGAGGCAAAGCTGACGGCCGAGAAGCAGCAGCTCCGCGCCGACGTCGAGCGGCTCGCCGAGCCGTCACGATCGCCCTTCCTCAACGGCGCGCTGAGGTCCAGCGTCGTGACCATCACCGAGACGTCGCCCACTCCACTTCCGGGAAACCAGCTGCCGCCGGTCACGCCGGCGAAGCCGAGCACGCTCTCGCTGCTCCGCTCCGGGGCGGAGGAACTCAGGTCCCCCGCGCCGGTGGCGGTGGCGGCTGTCGCGGCGAGCCGACCGCTCGTCGAAACGACGGGAAAGGTCGGAGGTCGGGGATGGGGCCGGTTAAAGGGGGCGTTGTCCAGCACGGAGCAGATCCCCTGCGGCGGCGGCGGCGGGGGCGGCGGCGGGGGCGGCGGCATCGGCGGCATCGGCGCCTGGAACCGGACGTCTCCTGCCGAATCCATGGAGATGCTCGCGGAGGCGGTGCGGGCTCGGTCGCCCGACAAGGGGCAATCGCCCGACGCCTGCGTGCAGACCCCACGCGGAGCGCTCACGCCCGACAAGTCGCAGCTCAAGAAGATGGACTCGTGCGACAGCGGCATCACGTGGAGTGACCAGCGGCTGGACCGCGCCGGCGTCGGCCGCAGCCCAACCATCGCCGGCGCGGCCGACTCGCGGCATGCCTTCTACCCGATCCCCGAGCAGACGCTGCAGGCCAGCGTGCTGGAAGTGCGCCACGACATCAGCGAGGACGTGCGTTCGCTCGGCGACCGGATGTCGGTCATGGAGACTCAGCTGGCCGAGATACTGAGATTGCTCGGCGGAGGGGCGTGCACCCGGGCCGCGTCGCCCGCACGCGGGGGGCGTCCACCGATGACCGACGAAGCTTTCCGGCCGGAGTCGCCCACGACAGGCCACTCCGCCGTATGATGAACCTGCCCCCCCCCCCCCCCCCCCCCCGGTTACGGACCACGTGTCTTTTAAGTTGAATACCCGTGCCAAATTATAATTACTTTTTTTACTTACATTGTACAGTTGTAATCGTTCAGCAACTAGACATGTACGGCGATGTTGAGCACACTATATTTTATTTTTAATTGCAAATGGAAAAAAAAAGCAATTAAGCAAAGTATATTCATAAATTGCGTTTATATTGTCACACGTACTGAATTGTGTTGGGTCAAGAGGGGGGGGGGGGGGGGGTGTGGGTGGGGGGGGGGGGGTATGGACCTGTCGAGATGGTCGGGGTGACGTGTGCGTGTATTTAAATATGTAAACGAATGTGGACAATCACAGTAGACGCCGGCTCGCAAGGCGGTGCATTCACTGTGTCACGGAAGTCATTCAACTGGAGATCGTGGGAAATGAGGTTATGCTGACCTGGAATCCAGCGAGTAGCTTCTTTTGCAATAAATAATGCCTTGAAAGATTAACTTACAACACTTGCATGGCTCATTAGCAGATGTGTTGCACACAGCAATAAGCTATAAAACAAACAAAAAAGCACATAGTCTCGCACATTACTCCTTCAATTTTTGTTTGGCCCCGTTCTACGACGGTGGCAAATTTGCATTTACCTGTTTCTTTGCTAAAAACTTGTTTGATTGTGTCTATGCCCCCAATGAATGTAAACAAACGTTCTTCTATATGCATCCATTGCGCAGCTGTTGCCGCTTCCATCAGAGAGCATTCTCGGCCGCCCTCTTGGTGCCACAGACGCCAGTGACGGCAACACTGCCCTTTGACTGTCCGCGTGATTTCGGAGCGCCCCTCGCCACGAAGGGTTACAATGATGATGGTACATTTTTTGGTACATTTCGGTATTCGCGCTATTCTCGCGTCGCGAGAATACCACGGAGGAGCCGTGCTGCACAGGTGAGTATCGACTGCCAATCACGATGCGTTTTTAGCCAATGAAGTAACATGCAAAGTAAAATGTTCAGATAATGGCATATTTTGAAGGTGACGTCGGCAACGCACGGCCTACTATTTTTTTCGAACAGCGTCCACGGGATCTTTAAGGTCCACTGGGAAGCGCACAGTGCGCAGTGTGTATGGTTAATATACACACACCGCAGTATTAACCAGGGCTGCCGACGGACTCGAACCACGAACTTCTGCTGCCACGAGAGGCAAACACGTCACAGCCCATTAATGTATCCCATCACCCCTCCCCTGCCCCATCCCCCCAGGGTCTCGTGGTAGCGGGATGTTAACTACCTCGCCCGGTATACATGAGGTCGTGGGTTCGATCCCAACCCTGACGCCTGCTGTATATCTCCCCGTGGTCGCGTAGATTTTTCTCCGGGTCCTCCGGTTTTTCCATCCAAATTTAGAATCAACATCACGCGTTTACAGTATTTGGCTGCTGTAAATTTCTAAGTGATAAGCCACTTCGTTTTAGCTATCATTTGTGGCCAGTTCACTGCTGAAAAAGAGCTATGTAGCTCAGTGGGCCTTACCTAGTAAAAAAAAACTTTCTGGCTTTAGAACATAAACCAGCATTAACGCCATCAATGCTGGCATCTTTAATTATGACATGTCACCTCATTGGCTACATGCTGGCAAATGGGCTTATAGTGGGGAACGTTCTGTAAAATCCCATCTTCGGAGGGGGGGGGGGGGGCACGAAAACTGCCAAGTCTGGCTAAACTAGTCGAGAACAGACAGTCAACTTAGCCCAGTCTTCCACAGTGAGAGCAACACTTATTATTATTTAAATTTCTCTTCGTGGTGTCACCTGTTTTTATCTCACAGGCAGTGGGCTCGACATGACACCTGCTTGAGTTTTAAATCAGAAGAAGAAAAAATCTCGCGCTTGTTGCCATCTCTCATTTGTGTACCGTCAAGCTTGAAATTTAAAGTCTCGGGCATTATTTTTTTTTACTATCTCTCTCTCTCTCTCTGTTTGATTCCGTTGAGCTGTCACAGGGAAAAAAAAATAAGAAACTGTACGTTTGTGACGACCGCACTGCTGGCCGTGAAGTGAAAATCCAAAAAACTCAGGAGCCACAAAGAGCTACTTTCAAGTAAGGCAGCATTGTGTTAGTGCATAACCGCCCTAATGACTTTGTTCCACTGATGTCTGCAATTTAACAAACATCCGAGCTTTCCGACGCGCCGATTAAAACATATCCCTCCGAGTGTGGCGAATATCCACTCCCCGGAATTATATATTTTTTTTATATTGTGTATCACATTGACATTTATATGAATGTTGCAGAAATGACGGCACCTTTTTAAAATATTGGAGAAAAATAAATTAACTGGCCTTGCTATAAATATACAGAGGAGGGGAGCGGTGGGGGGGATAACAAACCACGTGACGTATATACACGCATCGTTGTTTCCGAATAAATGTGCACGGTACACCGGACGAACCGTGTGCACGCGTACGTTAGTCCAGCTGTGTGCGTTCGTCACAACGGTCACGCGCTCGTCACAACGGTCACGCGCTCGTCACAACGGTCACGCGCTCGTAACAACAGTCACGCGTTCGTCACAACGGTCACGCGTTCGTCACAACGGTCACGCGTTCGTCACAACGGTCACGCGTTCGTCACAACGGTCACGCGCTCGTCACAACGGTCACGCGTTCGTCACAACGGTCACGCGCTCGTCACAACAGTCACGCGCTCGTCACAACGGTCACGCGCTCATAACAACGGTCACGCGCTCGTCACAACGGTCACGCGCTCGTCACAACGGTCACGCGCTCGTAACAGCGGTCACGCGCTCGTCACAACAGTCACGCGTTCGTCACAACGGTCACGCGCTCGTCACAACGGTCACGCGTTCGTCACAACGGTCACGCGCTCGTCACAACGGTCACGCGCTCGTCACAACGGTCACGCGCTCGTCACAACGGTCACGCGCTCGTCACAACGGTCACGCGCTCGTCACAACAGTCACGCGTTCGTCACAACGGTCACGCGCTCGTCACAACGGTCACGCGTTCGTCACAACGGTCACGCGCTCGTCACAACAGTCACGCGCTCGTCACAACGGTCACGCGCTCATAACAACGGTCACGCGCTCGTCACAACGGTCACGCGCTCGTCACAACGGTCACGCGCTCGTAACAGCGGTCACGCGCTCGTCACGACAGTCACGCGCTCGTCACAACGGTCACGCGCTCATAACAACGGTCACGCGCTCGTCACAACGGTCACGCGCTCGTCACAACGGTCACGCGCTCTTAACAACGGTCACGCGCTCGTCACAACGGTCACGCGCTCGTCACAACAGTCACGCGTTCGTCACAACGGTCACGCGCTCGTCACAACGGTCACGCGTTCGTCACAACGGTCACGCGCTCGTCACAACGGTCACGCGCTCGTCACAACGGTCACGCGCTCATAACAACGGTCACGCGCTCGTCACAACGGTCACGCGCTCGTCACAACGGTCACGCGTTCGTCACAACGGTCACGCGTTCGTCACAACGGTCACGCGCTCGTCACAACGGTCACGCGCTCGTCACAACGGTCACGCGTTCGTCACAACGGTCACGCGTTCGTCACAACGGTCACGCGCTCGTCACAACGGTCACGCGTTCGTCACAACGGTCACGCGCTCGCTGCGAAGGATTTTGTTTTGCATTCTCTAGGGGGAATGCTCAAAAGCGTTACGATTCTAGCAAGACGAAGATCCGCCCCCTCCCCCCCGTTATTGCTTTTTTTTACAGGTTGCTCGGGGCCAAGTGCTGTTAGCGAGCACCTGCGAAGGCCGGCACGACACTGCACACAAAGGTGGGGGGTGGGTGGCGTGACCAACGTGACTTTGTCTCCCCCAGCGCTGACATTTGCACACTGCACCAGGTACTAATTTAAGGCTGAGTTCACCTAGGGGAGGTTCAGGACTAGTTCAGATATTCGTCACGAATGTGCATGCACGCATATGCTTAAACAGAATATTAATATTTTTTTTAAATATTACTTTCTGGAGCAAGGTATGCAGGAAAGCACAGTGCGCCACGAATTTATAAATCAATTGAAGGGATCTCAGAAGTAGTTCGGCATTATCTACTTCCAGCGGACACAACACAAGGTCGTGGCACTGCCCTGCCAGCGTTCTCAAAGGGGACACATCTTTGTCACGTGACACGACGCCGCAGGCACAATTTGCAAGCGAGGGCAGAAAGGCAGCCGCGTGCGAGAAGCCACGAATTGAAGAACCCTCCGGGTGAGCAGAGGAGCGGGACACTGATCGCACGGCGGGACTCTATCGCGGCACGCGCTCGCTCTCCCACTGCGGGCATAGCTGGCACGGAGCCCCCCCCCCCTCACCCGCCGCCCACCCACCCCCCACCCACCCCCACCCCCACCCACCCCCCCTGCCCTGCCCGATTCGGATGCGTTTGTGGTAACGTCGTTGCCACGGTGGCTAGGAGATGTTTACTACCTCGCCTGGTATACAGGAGGTCGTAGGTTCGATCGCGGCCCTGACGCCTGCTGTACATTTGGAGATTGCATCTCTCTCTCTCTCTCATTAGCATTACGGTGGCTAGATGTTTACTACCTCGCCTGGTATACAGGAGGTCGTAGGTTCGATCCCGACCCTGACGCCTGCTGTACATTTGGAGATTGCACCTCTCTCTCTCATTAGCATTGCGGTGGCTAGATGTTTACTACCTCACCTGGTATACAGGAGGTCGTAGGTTCGATCGCGGCCCTGACGCCTGCTGTATTTTTGGTCGCGTGGATTTATCTCGGGGATCCTCTGGCTTGTTTCATCCACATTTAGAATCAGCGTGCGTTTAGAGTATTTGGCTGCTAGAAATGTCCACGTGATAAGCCACTTGGTTGAGCTATCATTTGTGGCCAGGTCGCTTCTGGAAAAGAGCTACGTAGCTCAGTGGGCCTTACCTGGTAAAAATAAAATAGTTGATCGTCGAGTTTATGAGATGATGATGACGATTGCTCCGCCTTCGTTGACCGGTGTGCAGTGGCTCTTCCGTCGTCTTCGATCGGCCAGATCACCTCTCACGACTGGGCCTCTCGCGGTGGGTGGAGGGGGGGGGGTGGAGGACTTCAATCGTTCGATGCTGACCGGCCGCTGCTGCCCGAGGCGCCCGTTTCAATCGCATCGACGTAGAATGACGGCTGCTGTTTTGAAGAGCCGGGTCCCGTAACGCGTCGCCACCCGAAGCGACTACAACTTTAAAACGGCCGCAGCCTGGCTAAGTGGTGCACATCCACGGATGGTTAA